ATTATTTAAAAAAGTGTTGAACATTTAAAAATATTAATTTAGTATTTCTTGATTGTAATGAAAGCTTGATGCTTATTTGACCTTCACTCATGTTCATCTGTCTGAACTTTACTAGTACTGACGCCATTTGAGGAAATATTATGACTCAAGTAGGCTTTTGATCCACAATCCCTTGTTTGAGAGGCAGACTTGTCAAGTACTTGGACACCTCTCTTTTTAATTGAATGTTAACAATATATAGCTTATGTTATAGTTTTAATCGTGTACACACAAAAATTTAGGTAAATATTTGACATTAATACTTCTAATGTAGATTTAACATTTGCCTGCCAGCATGATGAAAAACATTTTGAGTTTTTATTTGTTATTCAGATAAAGCAAGCCACCCTATGATTCATGGTCCAAAGGAAGTGACATCACTTCCTGTAGCTGCAGTAGAAGAGGAAGTGAGGGATGTGCCTCTGACTGCCTTTGATGACAATGATGGTAGACAGTCTGGTTCAGGCGGCATGTGTCAAAATCTCGGACATCTTGAATATGAGATCACCAGTGATGATGGCTTCAGTTGTAGAAGTGATTCTCTTGATGGTAAGTTATCATACTGGTATACATATTGTTTCCATTTAAATACATACTTAAAAACTTGCCCAAAGTCTTTGGTGGGATTTTAAAAGAACCTCTTTTTTATCTTCCATAAAGTTGCGGATAATATCCATACATAGATACAAAGCCTGTGCAGGGATTGAAAATCATAGTGAGGGGCATTTGATAAGAACTCCACAACTATAATTACTTGGTAACTATGTCTATAGGTTTGCTGAGCGACTACAAATGAATATGTTCATGATTACTTAAAAAAAGATATTAATATTTGTTTTAAGTTGGTTCAAGCTAAATCTCACCACAATATGATATTTTCAAATCATTCAAAATACGAGTTCCTGCAGTAGATGGGAAAAGAAAGGTAGTCTGCTCATGGGTAGATAATTCTTAAGATTTTAAAGAGTAAAGAAAATGGTTTTGATTTATTGCAGGGGCATGGAAACAAGTAACAGAGAAAGTACAAGACGCCCGTACAGCCAGTAGACTGAAACATCTCAGCTATGCTGGTAAGTGAAATCTTTACATGCACCAATTAACATAGCAAGAAAAACATGCTCCCATATAAGGGAAAAATTGTAGTGATATTTCTATTTACCCTTTACTGCATATTGTGAAAAAATTCCATTTTCATTTAAAAGCCTCAGATATCAAAATTTTCTTGGGGATGAGGGGGGCTGCTGCCCCCTTCTAACTCCGAAAACAGAAGGGGGCACATGCCCCTTCTGGCAACCCCTTGATGTACCTTTTTGATAGGGTGCGGTGTTGAAAAACTGATCACTTTTTATCAACATATCTCATACAAAAAACAGTGTTTAGGGTCTAAATAGGGCAAATTTTTACTGTTTGAGGCCTCAATTGGTGGGGGGGGGGGGTGGAAAAGCTGTCAAAACATGAGGTAAAGGGTTAAATGTTTGACGGGCAAAACTTGATTTACCGATAAATCTATCAAAAATGTTCTTGAAAGTCTTTGTTGACACAATTTTTTATGAGGTAATTTTACATTTTTGTACTCATTCACAGAGATGTATTGTATATATGCATTGCTTCAAAGGTACTTGCTTTGCTTGTTAAAAATGGGGTTTTGTGCTGATAAAATTTCCTGTTTTAAAGTTTATCAGAATAATCACAGAATAATGGTTCTCCTGCTAAAGGAGAAGTCAAGTTAAAGTTTATATTATATACATTTCTGTTTCTATTTTAAGGATTGACAGGTGTACAGATGTTTGGGTTAAGTCACCCCAGTGTTGTTTACCTAATTGAGCAGCTATATGGAGCTAGTTACTGCCGCAGATACAAATTCAAGTATCACCGACATGAAATGGTAGAAAGGGAACTGGTAAGTTCTGATAAATATATATATCTATTACACCTTAGTTTTAGTTCAACTATTTTGAAGATTGTGTATGCTGACCAGGCTGTATACTGTTTGTAGCTCAAATTTTATATTTCTATATTGAAATACTTTGAACTTTAAATAGATTGTTTCAAATTTAAATCAGGGAATAAATTCTCCAGGTTAAGGGTTAAAAGAGGTATGTGACAGATTGTAGTACTATATTACTAACAGGCAGTTACAATAACTATTTAACTCAAATGTTTCTGAGTTCTATTCTGTCAATATGTTCACATAATGCTGCAGAATTAGCAAAGGCAACATGTGTACTGTAACTCAAATTGAGAACTCTAGAAGTACTGGTTCTACCTCAGCTGAGCTAAAAATGCCAGTATAAAATAGAGAACTTACAGTGTGATTTAAGAACATTCAAGGCTGTCTGTGAAGAAATTCTTGCTTATTTTATTTGGATGTTTGAAATTATTATCATGGATTTTTGCACAGCGATTTTCATCTTGTTTTTAAAAAACATTTTATCTCCTTGCATATTAATGTTTATGCAATAAAATTTCTTTATTACATTAATTTGTGATGTTTAAAATCACATTGAACCATTCTATTTTAATGAAAACTGCCTTGTTAATTCATAAAAATATTTTTTTAAATTTTATAGGAATTAGTGAATCCCTCTGGTTGTATAAGAACGGAGCCGTTCAGTGGCCGCAATCCGACAGATATGTTCAGTTTCCTGATGTCACGGTACCGTACGTTACCAGAATATTGTGGTAGAGACATTAACGAGGAAATAGCCATGAAATCTTCACGGAGAGCAACCAGCATGGATCTACCAATGGCAATGAGGTTTAGAAAGTTAAAGGGCTTTTCGAAGGAGTGCGTTGGTGTATACAGGTAATTTCTTGTAAATGTTATAAAGCCATGCATGACTTGTCTATAATGTTTTATTATATACACATAAGTTAAATTATGAAAAATGTCATTTGCATCTAAAATGCTTATACCTGACAAGTCTTCTTTGTTTCACACTTTGCACTGCTGAAGTTAGATTACTGAACTACAGTAGATGTAGTTTTTGTTCGTTAATTGGTTAATGCAATTTAACATTTAAGTGAGTTATTCACAGAATTCAATATGATTTAGATTCTGTTTAATTCTCGTTTTAATAAATATATACAGATCAACCATACATGGACGTGGCTTGTTTTGTAAGAGAAGTATAGATGCAGGAGAGATGATAATTGAGTATGCAGGGGAGGTGATCAGAAACAGTATGACCGACATACGAGAAAAATACTACGAGAGCAAGGTAGGCCCACAAATTTTTATGCCCTGAGACATTTTTTATGTCGATTATACATTGTCCCGAAATCTTGTGAACGCAACTCCTCTTAAACCGGATGGCAGATTTTGCTTAAACTTTCAGGGATGAACAACCTTAATATGTAGATGGTAGTAAAGGAAGGAATTTTCGCTGCGACCAAACTTCATAGAATTATGGCCCTTTGTTGATTTTTTCACTATATACCGTATAAGTGGTTTTTTCTGCGGGCTCCAAATTCTGCGGTTTTTCCAAATTTTGGCATGTTTTTATTTCTGCGGCCTTTATTTCTGCGGCACATTCTTTGGACAAAACGTGATTTAATTTCTGCGACTTTCCTTATCTAAGTAACATTTCTCTAGTTTATTTTCATGTACGCATTCGCATTTGTTTGTCGTCGTCACCAAAAAACTGTACAGTAATTACAAACAATTATAATGTTTGCTTGCAAACAAATATAATGCGCAACAAAAGAAAGGTATGCATCTTTTGATCAGCGTGAAATGACGTGTGAAAAATATACATACCCCTGTAGTATCTTCAATTTAATACCGTAAAGCAGATGCCAATTAAAGTATTCGACGATTATCTAGCAGTATAAGGGTTGAAATGGTTTGAATGATTTAGTGATAAACAAACATTTAGCGTATCGGCAAACAATATAAATTACATGCTGTTTAAATATTTTTATTCTTAAGTTAAAATAATTAACAATAAGTACATCCTTACAAACAAACACTTACATACTTAGCAGACAACAGTTTTATTCAACTTGAAAACCCGCTAACCGTTATAATCCGTTAGTCGTTATTACTTTTAAGGTTTATATGAAACAGGTCATAATGCAGTGCACATATAGTACCAGGTTAAAAAAAACAAAAACATGGAAAATATTCTGCGGTTTTTATTTCTGCGGTGCTGAAGCTGACCGCAGAAAACGCAGAAATAAAGTCACCGCAGAAAAAACCACTTATACGGTACCATAAAGAAATTTTGTGAACACAACTCCTCTTAAACCAGATGGCAGATTTTGCTTAAACTTCCAGGGATGAACAATCTTAATGTGTAGATGGTAGTAAAGGAAGGAATTTTTGCTGCGACCAAATTTAATAGAATTATGGCCTTTTGTTGATTTTTTCACTATATACCATATAGAAATTTTGTGAACGCAAATCCTCTTAAACCGGATGGCATATTTTGCTTAAACTTTTAGGGATGAACAACCTTAATGTGTTAATGGTAGTAAAGGAAGGAATTTTTGCTGCTACCAAATTTAACAGAATTATGGCCCTTTGTTGATTTTTTCACTATATACCAAATAGAAATTTTGTGAACGCAACTCCTCTTAAACCAGATGGCAGATTTTGCTTAAACTTCCAGGGATGATCAACCTTAATACGTAGATGGCAGTAAAGGAAAGAATTTTCGCTGCGACCAAATTTAACAGAATTATGGCCCTTTGTTGATTTTTTCACTAAATACTATGTAGAAATTTTGTGAACGCAACTCCTCTTAAACCAGATGGCAGATTTTGCTTAAACTTCCAGGGATGAACAACCTTAATGTGTAGATGGTAGTAAAGGAAGGAATTTTTGCTGCGACCAAATTTAAGAGAATTATGGCCCTTTGTTGATTTTTTCACTATATACCATATAGAAATTTTGTGAACGCAAATCGTCTTAAACCGGATAGCAGTTTTAGCTTAAACTTTCAGGGATGAACAACCTTAATGTGTAAATGGTAGTAAAGGAAGGAATTTTTGCTGCGACCAAATTTAACAGAATTATGGCCCTTTGTTGATTTTTTCACTATATACCATATAGAAATTTTTTGAACGCAACTCCTCTTAAACCGGATGGCAGATTTTGCTTAAACTTCCAGGGATGAACAACCTTAATGTGTAAATGGTAGTAAAAGAAGGAATTTTTGCTGCAACCAAATTTAACAGAATTATGGCCTTTTGTTAATTTTTTCACTATATACCATATATATGTTGTCAGTGGGGGCATCCGTGTCCTTTGGACACAGTTCTAGTTTATCTTTCTGTTTTCTTCCATACTTTAATCACACTTAAAATCTTTGAAGGAATTTTTCCAAATTCAAAGCATGGTACATTTTTGAGGTTAATACTAGAAATATTTGATGTTTGATCTTATCATAATGCTATAATGAGTTAATTTTTGAATAATGAAAGATAACTATCTTTTTTACGAACAGGGTATAGGATGTTACATGTTCCGTATAGATGATACAGATGTTGTGGATGCTACAATGAAAGGAAGTGCTGCCAGATTCATCAACCATTCTTGTGATGTAAGACAATTTATGCATGATATTTTAATAAACATATCCTACATGTATTAATGAAATGACTAAAGGGTTTAATATTTTAATAATGTCTACGTTTCCTTGCGATATTGATTTTCATGTTAGTACATTTTTATGCCCCCACAATGTGGGAGCATATAGCGTTGCACTTGTCCGTCCGTCAATACGTCCGTCCGTCCGTCCGTACGTCCCAAAATCTTGTGAACGCAACTCCTCTAAAACCGGATGGCAGATTTTGCTTAAACTTACAGGGATGAACAACCTTAATGTGTAGATGGTAGTAAAGGAAGGTATTTTCGCTGTGACCAAATTTAATAGAATTATGGCCCTTTGTTGATTTTTTTCCTTGATACTATGTAGAAATTTTGTGAACGCAACTCCTCTTAAACCGGATGGCAGATTTTGCTTAAACTTACAGGGATGAACAACCTTAATGTGTAGATGGTAGTAAAGGAAGGAATTTTTGCTGCGACCAAATTTAACAGAATTATGGCCCTTTGTTGATTTTTTCACTATATACTATGTAGAAATTTTGTGAACGCAACTCCTCTTAAACCGGATGGCAGATTTTGCTTAAACTTACAGGGATGAACAACCGTAAGGTGTAGATGGTAGTAAAGGAAGGAATTTTAGCTGCGACCAAATTTTACAGAATTATGGCCCTTTGTTGATTTTTTCACTATATAATATGTAGAAATTTTGTGAACGCAACTTCTCTTAAATCGGATGGCAGATTTTGCTTAAACTTCCAGGGATTAACAACCTTAATGTGTAGATTGTAGTAAAGGAAGGAATTTTTTGCTGCGACCAAATTTAACAGAATTATGGCCCTTTGTTGATTTTTAGTTTTCAACTTGTGGCACATGTAGTCCAAAAAATATTTGACCTAGAGTCATAAGATTGACAGAACAGTGGCGTGTGGGGGCATCCGTGTCCTATGGACACATTTCTAGTTACTGTTAATTTGTCTAACAAACATATACTGTAATTTAACCTTATCATATGTACCTGATCATAGTGTGAATCGCTTTTGGATACATTCATCTGAATGGGATTTCTCATCTCTGAACTGCCTGTGTTGGTTCTGGTCAGATGTTAATGCCTGGTATAACACAGAGTGGGTAATATAAAGCTGGAAACCTTGTCTAAAGACTTTAAAGCATCATCTGGTTAGCTCAATAGATAGAATGTGAATCTGTTGATCCAGGTTCGATTCATGGACGATACAGGTCACTTTCATTGTGATTGATCATTAAACCTTTGCTATGGCAATTGTACAGAAGTAACAGTTTCTTGTGAAAGTGAAGGCAACTAGAACTGGTAAACTGTATGACAGCCTGCCCAGGAATGATGCGGTGACTGAACTGTGCTCCTGTAAATTCAATGTGGCTTACTGCCATGATCAAGAGTGAAAACTACCAACACCACCAAAGCTAGAAACCTTGTCTAACTTCTTAACTGACTTTAACTTAACAGTAAAACACAGGTAAATGTTGGCAATGATAATGGTATATATTTCCCACTGGTATTGAGCAAGATGAGACCAGTCGGCACATCCATGCACTCTGCAAAACTATATTATAGTCTGTATAAATTATCATTTTGATATTTATATTTCTTACATTACAAATTGAGTCTTCTTTTTCATATTTCAGCCTAATTGTTACTCTAAGGTGATAACTGTTGACAATAGAAAACACATTGTGATATTTGCCATGAGGAAGTAAGTAAAGTTTACAGTGTAACTTTGTTAGTAAATTATTAATTTCTTATGAATAAGATATTTAGAAAAAGATAACAAAAATTTCGGGTCAATTTTTAGCTTGTCTGTTTGGAAGTATAAGTTGAGCTAATTTGCTTGCTACAGCATTGTTGTTGTCATCCTGCAAAAAGTTTAATGTAGCCCATTATTCAAAAATTTCAAAAATTATCAACATGAAAATTATCATGACAAAGTACAGTTGTTAGACAAGGGGCAAAATTCTGAAAGCAATGCTTTTGGAGTTCTGCCCCTTTGTATCTTAGAATTTTTAACAGACAAGTGTTAACATCGACAAATGTGGTGCTCTGTAAGTAAATTTTGGACCCAATCTTATCTAAACTAAGAATGTATAGTTTAGTGTAGTATTCAACATATTGTATCAGATATCAACGGAATCGGGATGTTCATGTATTCCTTGCTTTATTTCAGAATTTTACGTGGAGAGGAGCTAACATACGACTATAAATTTCCTATTGAGGAGATCAAGATACCTTGTACATGTGGTGCTAAACGATGTAGAAGATATCTCAACTAGATGTGACATAATTATACTCTCGGAATACGACAAAATTACACTACAGTATTGGAATACCCTTTTGCCTGCAGTATTTTTAAAATGGATTTGTCCAGTTTCCAGTTTTAGAAGCGGTTTGTTATCTGTTTAAGGACCATTAAGATAAGATGGAAATTTGAAATTGATAAGCCAACAGTATAGATAGAGCCTGGTCACAGTATAGACTGCACAGCAGTGCAGGCTAGCTTGGCTCTATACTGGTGATAAAGTCTTATCAATTTTGGTTTGTGCAGGATAAAGGCTATCTATGCCTTATTACACAAATGATAAGTAAGAAAGATTTGAAGAAAAGTCCTTCAGAGGATTTGATTTCTTTCACAACCAGACTTTGTTATGAAATTCAGAGCCAGTCTGATTTTGGTTTATGCAGGTGACAATAAAGACGCTTCAGTTGAACTGTCAAGCACCCAGATCAAGCGTTGCTATGGAGATACTTTTATATAATTACTACAAATGAAATTCATACATCTGTTTACAGCTTGAATAAAAATACCAATGATTGGGAGAGAGAGGGAAAAAAAACTAGAATGAACAATCAGGTCTGTTTTAAAATCAGCTATTTTTACGCCAGTCCTTCATTTGGGTAGCAGCTATTAGAGTGAAAGAAACGAAATTAAGGATTTAAAAAAAAAAAATCCACAAAAAAAATTTATTTGTATAATTGAACACTTCTGATATCTTGTCCAGAAGAATAAGTAACACGTTATTGAAATCAATATTTACAAAATATTATGTTGAATTCATTATATAGTTTTCAGTTGAAGTTGAAACCATGAAATTGTGAATATACTGTTACAATTACGGTTTTTCTTAATATCTGTGAGAAAATTATTTGTGATTTTTTATTATATATGCAAACTGTTAACTGTTTATTGAACAAGAACTTTTAGTTCCAAAATTATTGTGTTCATCTATTTATGTTATGTGTTTGATACATACTTTGAAATATTGCATTTATAGTCATTTTGTACAAAAAAAGAAAAGAAAATTGTTGTTGAAGGTTTGGGCAGCCAAAGCTCTTTTAGTGTTTTTGATGCACTTTGCTTGCAGTCGGACGGGTCAATTTTTGTTTTGTGTCTATCGGTCAATTAACTTAGTTACGGAATAAATTGTTTTACTTTTTCACGACATTGTGGTCAATTTCATATTTAAAATCTTAAGTGTACATGTAATCCGTTATTTAAAGTCTTTAAAAGATTTTAATAGGTATCAATATGAAACATGCTTATCATGACAAGGTTCAATTGAAAGACATTGGCCATGATTCTGAAAGCTACATTATTGGAAGTTATGCCCCTTTTAAAATTTTAACAAATATTGTGTTCAAAATTGGCCTTTGATAGTCCTTGCCCTTAACAGATTGAGCTCCTGTTTAATGGATGGCCTTATTCAGGAATGTATTAGTACAACAAGTAGATTTATTGCTAAAATAATATATGAACTATCCTCAATTTATCTCAAGTCTTTCATGACTATAGTTTTGTATAAATGGCAAACCTTCCTGCCAAATAATTTTACATTTTTTTTCATTGTAGATAACGGTCCAAACCTCTATGTGTATATTATAAAATGGTGGCGTTGTGCAAACATTTGTAAAATTTGTACTTTGTATTTAAAAAGAAAGAGTATTACTTTATATAGGGCTATGAAGATACATTTATTTAATTGTAATTTAGTATGACAATTTAGTATGTTCTGTCAATTGAATCAGCAGCAGGATTCAGCCTGGGGAATAGTGGAAGTATTCATGTTAAGATGATCAAACCCTTAACCTTTGCTTAATGCTCTTGTGATATGTGTGTGAATAATTCTTGGCTCTTTTGATGTCCTAATTTAACCACTGCATTGAGTAGGTAGTGTGTAATAGGTCAGAAATTTAAAACTTTGCTCACTTTTCAAAATGTCTCCGTGCAGGGGTGGGTAACAATTCAATTAACTCTTGTATGATATAAAAGCTTGTCTTATTTTCGCAATTAAATAAATTGGAACATAAGTTGTGATATATCATTTATAGTGTGATAATGTTAATGTGTGGTTGTGTTTTTTCCTTTAAAACGGCACACATTCAGATAAATTGAACGATGTTAAATAACTTTGATTTGTACACCTAACAATATTCTTATCCAATAAAACATGTTTTGAATTTTTATGAAATCTGGAGACGTGCCGCTTTAACAACTTTCTAACAAGAAAGTAAAGTGCTGATGGACGTTTTTGTTTTAGAATAAAGATATTATTTTGATAAATCTCGTTTATGGGTGCTGTTACTGTAGTCATATAAATACCACCTATGTGTGTTCTTATTTTTATTATGTTTGTGTCATTGTTTAAGTTTGTCCTGTTTAACTTTACATTCAGAGCATTTTCATTTGTACTTCCTATTATTTAATTTGCTATTCTGTTTTTTTACATTGATACTTTCTGTATTTGTTTTTTGTTTGTTTTTAGCTGGACTATTTGAGGAATAGGAAGTGCTATTGTACTCATTGGCGCCAGTTTCAACATTGTCATTCTTCAGTTGAGTTTTTGCTTGCACATTGGTATCTCTACTGCAGGGAATGGGTTAAAATTCCACACACTTTTTCACTGTGATAATCTTACAAAATGGACGTAGGTCCAATAACTGTGAGTTGACTATCGACAGAGTTATGCCCATTTTCATAATGTCAAGCACTGAGAATAGTTGAGTGCGCTGTTTAACAGACTGCTCGTGTTTTTGCTGATCTTAAATGATAACGTTGTTGACCAAAAAATGTCATTATGATACAGAATAGGCACTTTCCACCCCCTCTCCCCTTAAAAAAAAAAGCTATGTGTTTGTCTGTCCTGAAAAATTAGCAGTTAATCCTTTTGACAATGCCTTACATTAGTCTTGAACATAATTGATAAAAACCATGAAAAGGTTATGTTTTTCAAATTTTGATCTTTGTGTTAATTGAAATAAAAAGGTGTTTTGATATGTTGGATTTTAAAGTTTCAATTTTTGTATTATGTAAGATAAATATGGGTATAATCATAAGGTTATGTAAAATAATGATTTTTTTTTTTACATTAAATGAATTAACAGACAAATACTGCGTGTATTGTTTATGTGTGTTTTGTTGTCATGGATACATGTTGAAAATCATAAGTTTATTTGTTAAAGTGACCTTACATTGAATGTTTCATATGCAAAACTTGTAAATATCATTTCTATAACCTGTATATGTAAGTTGTTATAAATATAAAAATTATCCCAACTCCTCACCCACCCATGTTGTTCAAGGTTTGATTTGACCATCTATGTACATACTGTAAATAGATATATCTGTTATACATATTTTGATTCTACTATATAAAAGGCAGCTGTTTTGTAATATGTTAATAATGAGCTTATGTTTTCTTATATAATAATGATTGACTGCTTATATGATACACTGTCTCTGTCACTGCAGTTTGAAAGTTTCTTTATCTAAAATGTCATTGCTTCAGTGGTAAAAATCATAACTGGATAGCTGATGAATTTCTTAAATGGACTTGTCCAGCTTACGTTATTTTGAACTGTCCATTATCGTTTTTTTTTTTTTTGGGGGGGGGGGGGGATTTACAGACAGATGAAAATTTCACAATCAAAATGAATAATTAACCAAATGTTAGCAACAATTATGATGATTTGCCTATTTCATTGGTAAAAAGATTTGCAAGGAAGCATACTTGTTCAATCCGAGCAGATTCTTTACTTTTAGCTTTTTCCATGTTAAAACTCTTTAACACGTAGACAATGATTAAAGTAGATGTAAGAATTTTTTTTTATTATATTTAAATTTTCTTTTGGGGTAAATTTTTAAACGGGGTTTTTTTTTGGTTTTTTTTTTAAATTTTTTTTGGGGGGGAAAAAAAAAAAACCCATTGTAAAATACAAAATTTTGATTTTTTGCCAGACTTTTACTGTTAAAAGCCTTCCAAGATTTTTGGGCAGTTTTTTGAAGGGTTTATTTACATTTTTTAAAAGAACAATTTTTTACTACTATTACTTTGCAAAAATTTGTGCAAGGGTCCTGGTAAGAAATTGGGAACAGTTCATTAAATGTTGGGGGGTTTTTTATACAAAAAAAATAAATAAAATTGGGGTGCGTTATTTTTGGGGAAAAGCTATCCGGGCAAAGCTTATGGAATTTCTATTAAAAAATGACCCCTTTTTCATGGTTATTTCAGCCGAAAAGGCGTACCTGGGGTTTTCCCCTCCCCCAGTAAATCTGGAAAGCCCTTAAAATATGAAAAGTTATTATGTCAGTGTGACTAAAAATCCAACAAAACAAACAAAGTCAGTACTTTGATATTGAATCCCATTGAAACTTAGAAACTGAATAAGCCCAAATTGCGGGAAGGGTATTTTTTAAAGTATTTTTATATATATCCCGGGTCCGTGAGGGGGGGGGGGAGCAATAATTTTCCCCAGTTTTTTAAAATTCTGTATGAAAAAATTTAAACTTTGTATAAGGGTTAAAATAGCTGTAAATGTGTGCATTTTTTCATGTAAATATCTGAGCAGTTGTCCCCTCTCAAACATGGTGTTTTCAAACATAAAAATTTAAAAAAAAATATTTATTTATGAAAAAACTTTTCTTTTTTTATGTAATTTTTAAATTAAAATGAATGGCTAAAATTAAAAGGGTTTAAAAGTTTTATTTAAAATTTGGGTAAAATAATTAGTTAGATATACATGTAAAGTTTAGTGGGCTAAGTTTCCAGTAGATTACATGTAGTTATAAAGGTTTTAAGAAGAATAGTATAAAGTTTAGAAAGGTTTTGGTTTTATAGATTTAGATTGGTTGCTTTTAAAGTTAAAGGTTAGTATATAAAGGTTTTTTAATTTAGGTTGAGTTAGAGTTGAGTAGGGTTAGGGTTATGAGTAGTGATGTTCAGATTGTCGCACTAGTCGCCGATAATCAGTTACTGTTATGTAAAACGACAATAATCGATTCACAAAAAAATTTGTTCTGTTGCGACGTCGGCGAAAATGTTTAAAGTATCAAAGGGAAAATTAATTCTGACGGTAATTTTTCTATAAGCGAACACTTCGCTGTCGCCCAAAAAATCACTCAGAGAACAATTTGGAGTTGAACAGGATCCATAAAGTGATGGGAAAAAGGGGTAATATAATGTGATTTTGAATGGTAAATTTTTTGACTCCATTGAAAAAAAAAAATCTATTTTGTAAAATTATGACAGGCCCCCAATAAGGGTTTAAAAATGTGTTAAAAAAAGCCCAAATGGGGTTCGGGTTTCTAAAAAAAAATAATTAAAATGCCCTTTGGGAAGAAAAATTTTTTACCCCCCCCCTTTTTTTTTTTCTTTTTAACCCGGGGATTTTTTTTTTTGGAAAAAAATTTAATTTAGTTATGTCCCATCCGAATGAACCCATGTCCCATTTTGGGCCAAAATTTTTTTCCCTCACTAGTATGAGGTTAAGAGTTGGGTTAAAAATGTCAAAGGTTTGGTTTTTTTATAAAGCATGGTTGTTTTCTGATTAAAAGGGTAATTAAAAAAAGTTTTTAAAGGTTTGGGTTTTAAGGTTAAATTATAAGGATTTGAAGGGGTTGGATAGGGGAGTTATAAGGATTTTAAAAAGGTTGGGTTTTAGGTAGTTATAAGGATTTGAAGGTTTGGGGGATAGGGGAGTTATAAGGGGTTTGAAGGGTTTGGTTTTTAGGGTAGTTATAAGGTTTTTAAGGTTTGGGTTTAAAAAGGGGTAAAATTATAAGGAAATTTGGGAAATTTTGGGTTAAAAGGGGAAATTAAAAAAGTTTTGAGGGTTAGTTTTAAGGTTAATGATAGCTTTTAAATTTTTAAAGGGTTTTAAAAGGGGTTTGCTATAAAATTAGATTTAGTAAAGGGTAGAAATTTAAGAAAAGGGAAAAGTTACACATGTCATTCGAATTTTGGGGAAAAATTTGGAGTATAAAGAAAAATTGTTCATTTCATTTTGCTTAATTTAAAGGTACTTTTGAACGGAAATTGAAAAAATTATTTGGTTTAAATTCTTTTTATGGGCCCCCACAATGTGGGGGGCATTTTAGCGTTGCACTTGTCCGTCCCCTCCGTCAGCCGTCCGTACGGCCCGAAATCTTGTGAACGCAAAATCCTCTTAAACCGGGTTTGGGAGTTTTGCTTAAACTTACAGGGAAAGAAAAACTTAATGTGTAGAGGGAAATAAAAGGGAAGGGAATTTTTTCTGCCCAAACCCAAAATTTAAAAAGGAAAATTAGCCGCTTTTTGATTTTTTAAAAACCCGGTTTTCCGAAGGGAAAAAAAAAGGGTTTTTAGGGGTGGTATGTCGGCGGGCCCGGCGGGTGGGCGGGCCCGGGGGGCGAAACAATTTTCTTTGTGGAACTTTCCTTTTACATTTTTTAAAGGATTTTGACCAAAAATTTCCCCGAACCTTTTTCATCAAGTGCCCCCCGGGCGCCCTATTGTCGGGGTTTTTTCCATTGGGGTAAATTTTACCTAAATTAAAGGCCCTTTGTTTTTTTTTTCCCATATAAAAAATATAGTGAAAATTTCTTCTTGCGCAAACCCTTTTTCATTTCTTCAACGGATTTTTGACCAAACACTTTCACAGAAGCTTTGTCATCAAGTGCCCTGGGGCATATTGTCGGGGTTTGCGATTGGGTAATCAATTTGACCAATTACGGCCCTTTTTTTTTTTTCCTTATATATGAATATATAAGTGAACCCATTTCTTCTGTGCTGAACTCCCTCTACAATTTCAAGGGAGGTTTTTGTTCAAACTTTCACAGAAGCTTTCGTCATCATAGTGCCCTGGCGCATATTGTCAAAGGGGTGTTTTGTGATTGGATAATATTTGAAACCTAATTAAGGCCCTTTTTTTTTTTGCCTTATACAGAAATATATAGTGAACAATTTCTATATCGTGCGCAACTTCTCCTACATTTCTCGAAGGATTTTGACCAAACTTTCACAAAAAGCTTTGTATTAATGCCCCGCTGGCCATATTGTCTGGGTTTGTGATTGGAAAAATTTTTCCCCCCAATTTTCAGCCCCACTTTTTTTTTTTCCTTAACAGAAATTAAAATATAACATGTATAGTAAAACAAATTTTCCCTTTTGCTGAACTCATCCTTCATTTTTTCCCAACGGATTTTGTCAAATTTTCAAAGAAGCTTTTCACCAAGCGCCCCGCACATTTGCCCCGGGGTTTTTGTGTTTGGAAATTTTTGCCCCCAAAATTAGGGCCCTTTTTTTTTTTCCTTTTATAAGAATATATGTGAGACTTTTCAGCGGAAAATTTCCTCCTACATTATTCATGTTTTAAAATTGCAATATTTTCCCATTGTTTGTTGCTTTTTTTTGAAATCTAAAATACAACATATTTATCTCAATTGTGATAATTAAAAACCCGGGTTTCATGGCATTGCCATGTTTCTTTTTATTATTACTTTTGTAGAAATTTTTTTAAACGCAACCCCTTTCTTAAACCGGATGGCAGTTTTTTCTTAAACTTCCAGGGTTTAACAACCTTAATGTGTAGAAACGTAGTAAAGGGAAAGGGTTTTTTCTGCCGACCAAAAATTTAAAAGAATTATGGCCTTTTTTGATTTTTTGTTTTTTAACTTGTGGCCCCATTTTATTTTAAAAAAAATATTTGGGCCCCAGAGTCATAAGATTGGGCATGACAGAAAAGTGGGGGGTGTGGGGGCATCAATGTCCCTTTTGGGCACATTTCTAGTTTCCCAAAAAGAACTGTGATCTTTAAATTCCCTTTCTGAGTTTAAAAAATTTTTTTGTCGACTGTTAGCTGCTATTTCCTAAGATTTTAGGGAAAAAAAGGGAGACGTTTTTTGCTTTGATTTCTTTGTAATTTTCCAAAAAATAGCTTTTTTCCTCAAAAAAAAAACCCTTTAAATATTTCATATACATTACCCCATGAAAGACTGGGAATTTAAAATTTTATATTGATCTTGAGGCCCAAAAATCTTAAAAAACCCCTTTTGCCTAGTGCAGACCAAAATCAGCGGACACAAACTATGCCGGGCTGAGAAACATGGTTTTGCACAGTTTTTCAATTCAGTCAGTGTATTCTAATTTCTCGAAAATGATGTTTAGTTTTTCCAGTTTAAAAAACCCGGGGGAGCCCATTTTTTAAAATACTTAAAAATTTAAAAAAGCTGGTAAAGGGTTAAAATAACATTAAAAGGACAAACACCCTTATATTTTCCACTTTTATTTTGATCAGGGAAAATTGGGACCAAAATTAAAAAAATTTCCAAACTTAAAAAACAAAAACACAACTTGAACCCCAATTTACAGAAAAAAATGGGTTTTTATATTAAGTTTAAAAACATTAAATCCTAAAGTAATA